ATTCTATTCTATTCTATTCTATTCTATTCTATTCTATTCTATTCTATTCTAATTTCTATTCTGTTCTGTTCTGTTCTGTTCTGCTCTGCTCTGCTCTGCTCTGCTCTGCTCTACTCTACTCTACTCTACTCTACTCTAATCATAGGGTTGGAAGAGACATTAGAGGTCTTCTAATCTGATCTCCTGCTCAGGAAAACCACACAGTGACTTCAGTTGTCCTACTAAGTTGCAAATCCCTCTGGTAGTGGGATCTTCCATGCCACTGTGTTCCATTGCACGAAGGAGGAAGCTGTGAGTAACATTGTCCAATTACCTAGAACTAAAGAGTAATTTCCTAGTCAGTGAGAAAAAATAATCAGTGGAACGACTTGCCTCTAGAAGTTGTGGGTGCTGCAACCCTGGAGATTTGCAAGAAGAGATGGGACAACCATGGAAAAGGGTCTCCTTCTTGAGCAGGGGGTTGGACTAGAAGACCTCCAAGGTCTCTTCCAGCTCTATTCCGAATTGAATTAAATTGACCTAAGCCGAAACATTAGAATGCCTTGTTTGGCCCTCAAAATAATTCTGCCTAAGCACAAAAAATTGTCTTTGAACATTAGTAGGATCTCCAAAGTAGGAAGATCACCTTCAAAAGGTTAGGGTGTGTGAATTCCTGCTCAAGTTTTAATTACATGAAGATAAAGCAATTATCAGTTGCTGTTAATTGCCTGAGGAGGACAAGTGACTTGATTATGATAATTTGCAATGGAAACTATGAAGCGGACTGGAAAAATGTCAAAGCTGGGTTGCAGTATTTCCTTGTCAGATTAATGCAAATATTTTTTTTAAATGCTGAATACTAAAAAAACCTCCACCCATCCACCCACACGGATTTTTAAAACGTTTTAGATGATTTGGAATCTGATAGCTAAGATAACAGGCCGTGTTGCCTTTTTCTCTGCCCACGGTGAAGTTTTATTCCATGATGAAGTCAGCTACAAATGCACTCTCCGAGGAGAAAGAATATTTTCTACAATAGATTGAAAATAAAAATAAAAACTTTTTAAGCAAAATTTATGGAAGAGGGAACAACCCTGATTCCAATGATAATTTAGATGCCTGTGGCAAAACAGTGTGTTTCCACATTGATGGGCTTTGGCTTGGGGTCCTGTGTGAAAAAATATATATATTGAGACATGTGCAATGGATTTGCAAGGACAAGGGTAACTTTTGTTAACAACTGTACTGGGCACAGGCTCCTCGGGGGCCTCTTCCTCACTGCTGCCAGCCTCCACAATCTCCGAAGGCTCCACTCCCTGAGGGTCCTGGCCCCATCCCTGCATCCCACGCAGGCCCCTCATCTGAGTCCTCGCTCTCCGAGACCTCAGCTGTCCGCACCTGCTGCCGGCGAACCATGAGGAGTTAATTGGAAGCAAAACTGATTTTGTCATGGAATTATTTTCTTTTAAGGATAATAAAAAGAAATAAAAAGAAATTACAATAGAAAGGTAAAGTATCTGTCGTTACATGTATTAACAGCAGCCAAGAATTTCCTTTGCGCAGTATTGGAAGAAAAGACACCACACCACCTGAAGGTCTAGTAATTTAAAAAAAATTTATGAGTGCGCCGAAATGGATAAACTAACCATGGAATTAGAACATTATGCAATAGGGGAAGATTGGTATCAGTGGATCGACAATAGAAACAAGAAAAGAAAATGTACATCATGCCTATAATAGATGTAGATGGCATAGAAAGAATATGTACAGATTGCATCGGAGAGGCGATGTGAACGTATACAAAATGTCACAGCACTGTTTATTAAGTAATGGAGATATGTAAAAAAGAAAAAAAAAACCACTAAAGTATTATTAAAAAATAAATATTAATGGCTGCATTTGGTAGCTTGTGCAGATGTCACCAAGCACAGGGAGCAATACAACAGAGAAATTGCTTATACAACCCACCGGAAGCTGAACAGTGGCGTTTCTCCATTTCCAGGGGAATTGTGCTGGAGTTCTGTTTATGTACACCACAGCAATAGCAGGAGCCTGGGGTAGTTTAAAAATGTCATTTGGAAGCTATATTTCACACAGCGAACTATACATACCCACATATATATATATATATATATATACACACACATGAGCATGCAGGTGCAGAGGGAGGAAAGGAAAAGCAGTCTGCAGTCCTGCTCCTTCAGGATCTTCAAGATAAACGCCGTCCTTCTTAAAACTTGCAGCCGGCTTTAGTAGAAGAAACAGCCGAAGGCAACAGCGACGCAGAAGAGGCTCTCCTGGAAGAGATCAAGGGGAGGGTTGTGAGTGAAGCTGCACTTGGACAGAACCAGCATGAGAAGCATGGGGTTTGTTTGTTTTTTTCTTAATAAGGAAAAGAAGCAGGTACCATTAGAAGAGAGTAAAATAGTAAAATTGTTTTCAAGAAAAGATCACACCGTCTTAGCTGATTAGAAATATATATATATATATATATATTATATTCACTTGTTATGTATTGGTATACTGATTTCGTTTATAATGAAATGTCGTATTTTATGTATTTTTCTTTTTGATCTTTAATAAAGTTTATTTTTAAAAAAATTAAAAAAGAAGAGAATACTTGTAGCTCATGGGGTGAATTATGGGATCCTTGGGGACTCAACTGAGTTGGGTGGTTTTCTTGCAGACATTTCATTACCCAACTAGTAACACCATCAGTGCTAGAAGGAAGAGGGGCTTAGGAGGAAGAGGAAGACGATGGTGACAACTATGGGGTCTTTGGTACTTTGTGAGCTGGGTGGTTTACTTGCAGACATTTCATTACCAAACCAGGGGACATCATCAGTGCTAGAAGGGAGTGGGGCTTGCTCTCTGTTTATGTACAAGTGTTGGTGGGAGCATTGTTTTCTTCTGATTTGTCTGAGTTGGAGAAGCCGCTGGTATATAAAGGAAGAGCAAACCTCCCTGGAAGAAAACCACCAAGCCCAAAACCCTGGCTTCTTTTAAAGATCTGCCGACAGGCACAACAAAAGAGACCCACGTTTGTTCCAAAGCAATTTATGGCAATGCAGAGAGAGATACGCACAAGTCAGATCGACACGCTCCCCTCTGGCGTGTTGTTGGCAGCCCACATTTTAACAGCTACCTGGTGAGGAGCGTTGGTTCAAAAAACGAAAATGGGAAAAACTTACATTGATGAAAACATCCTGAGCGTAGTTATCGCTATCAGCATCCCAAAAACAACGGGCAGCCATGCTAAAAAGGAAATAAAGGAGGAAACCAGCTAGTAAAAAGAGAAAGTTCAGGCAGTCTTAAGACTGCTGATAAAAGTTATTTATTTTTAATTTTACATACATATCAATGTGTGAACAATATGACACCTGGGTGTTTTACATTTTATTACAATTAATGTAATACTTAATATATTTAACTTTAATAAACTTATAAATTTCTAATATTCCTACCTAAATTTATTACTTCCAAATTTCTCACTGATTTTCAATATTGCAGTATCTAATTTGCATACCAATCCTTATATTCAAATATCTTCCTTTTACGTCCAATAACATGCTAATAATCAAGTTAGCTATTCCTCCCCACACAATCTTATTTCATTCTAGCATTAATACACCTCCTTATTATTCCATTATGGTCTTCTATTCATTTATATATTCAATATTTCACTATATTAGTTCTGTTATGCTAATCCTCATGTTATTCAAATATACTTAATATCCCCCTCATTCAAATTCTAGTTTCCTTTCTTTTTCTTAACATGCCAAACTTATGATGTTGATGTTCCATTGTGGTCATTACGTGAATCACCAGAGGTCACTGAGTGCAACATCAAATGACTAAGACTTGCAATTTCCTGCTGGCTTCCCCAGTGTCAGAGTCTGGCAGTAAAGATTAAAAATGATGATCACATGACCACGGGATGCTGTAATGGCTGATAGTTTGAAGACCAGTCATAACTGTATTTTTTCCAGCAGTCATACCAGTGGTGGGATTCAATCATATTATTAAGGAAATGTATTCCATTATTTCCCCTCTCTCCAATTCCATCCCAGTTCTAACTTTCAGTTATGCCACTACAGTTCCCAAGAATAAGGCAGCCCTCGACTTATGACAATTCGCTTAGTGACCATTTGAAGTTACAACAGAGCTGAGAAAAGTGACCGATGACCCGTTTTCACACCTACCGCCACAGTCATGAGATCAAAACTGAGCTGCACGGCGACTGGATTGTATTTATGACGGGGGTCACATGATCCGCTTTGGCGACCGACGGACGAGCAAACTCAATGGGGAAGCCAGATTCACTTAATAACCGGGTTACTCACTTAGCAGCTGTAGTGAATCACTTAACAACTGTGGCCGGAAAGGTCGTAAAACGGGACAACATTAACTTAACAACTGCCTTGCTTAATGAGACCAATTTTGGGCTCAATTGTGATCGTAAGATGAGGACTAACTACTACCAGAGTTACTGATATTTGGCCTCCTGCACGAGGGAGGAATCTTCATAAGCTGTCTTTTAAATTTTAAATATTTTTTAAAAATCTATGTTAGATCAATATGTTAAGAAATGTTAGTCACCTAATATAAAAACTATGCAAATTTGAATGGATACATTCTAAAACAGTGGTCACCAACTGGTGGACCAGGAACCACTGGTGGTCTGCGAGAAAATTTTGGTGATCCGCAGAGAAATGTCCCCGTCCGAAGCAATTAATCCAGGCTGTGTGGAAACACAAGGCTGCGCTGCCCACATGGACCGTGGGAACACAAGGCTTGCATCGCGAACAACACGAGGTAGTGAGGGGAGGGGGGGAAGGGCAGAGGGGGGGAACTTGCCCCACTTACTCCACTCACCTGGCCTGGCCAACCGGGCTGCTTCTTTCCGCTTCTTTCTTCTTCTGCATTCGGCTGCATGCAAGGAAAGCAGCCAAAGTCCTTCTTTCTCTCCCCCAAACTCTGCCAGAAATGAGTCTTTGGGACCCTGCAAGGCCTCCTGCCCCAAGAGGCTGCGCCGGCAAAGACTCATTTCTGGCAGAGTTTGGGGAAGAGAAAGAAAGATTTCTGCGGCTTCTGCTGCTTTCCTTGCATGGAGCCAAAAGTCTCTCTCTCTCTCTCCCTGAGAACGGAGCTGCGATTTATTTGGGATCCTGCAATCCCAAATAAAGAATGATCGATCGGTAGGAAAACGGGGTGGGGGATTTTCCTGCAGACTTTTTGGGGGATTTTCCCAGGGTCTCTGGTCCGTGGGATTTAAAATGATGAGCTTGGTGGTCCAAAAGGTTGGCGATCCCTGTTCTAAAATGAAAGGAGAAAATCTCTCAAGCTAATAGGAAGCTACCCAGATCATTCTACAGAGAACCCAGGTAGTACTTGACTTACGGCCACAATTCAGCCCAATATGTCTGCTAAATGAAACGTTTATTAAGTGAGCTTTGCCCCATTTTACGACCTTTCTCGCCACAGCTGTTAAGTGAATCACTGCAGTTGTTAAGTTAGGAACCTGGTTATTAGGTGAATTCCGGCTTCCCCGTGGACTTTGCTCGTCGGACAGTCGCAAGAGGGGATCGCATGACTCCGGTACACTGCAACAGTACATGCCAGTTGCCAAGCGCCTGGATTTTGATCACATCACCCTGGGGAATGCTGCAACATGTCAGGATTCCAGCACTTAACCCCAATTAAATCATGAGTCTTGAGCCAAACCTCCAAAAGTTCAAAAAAGGATTTATTGGGAGTTAACATGTCCGGCACTGCCTGGGTGTAGCCGAATCTGAGGCACATCATTCCTTGTCACCCTTGACCCTGGTTTTCCCCCACCCCCTGGGTGTATCCTAATTCATGTTCTCCAATGGGACACTTCCATAGCCCAGAGTCATCGATCTTGCTCTCCAGTAGCAGAAACTTCAGTCACCTAGTTACTATCTTTGAAAAACTATGTTATGGCACTTTCGGTTTGCAAGCTGCCGCATTGCTCCCCCCTCCCTTTCTGTTGGCAACTCTAAAAAGACCAGAGAAATATGTGGTGAGTTGACACAAGTGTGAAAAGCGGTCATAAATCACTTGTCGGTCCCATTGTAATTTCAAACGGCCACTAAACGAAAGGTTGGAAGCTGAGGACGGCCTGCAATGCAGGGGTGGGGCTGCTACTGGTTCACCCCGGTAAGTTAATTTTATGGCTGATTCGGCAAACCGGCAAATCCCACCCCTGGCTGGCCCCGTTCACCCCTCCCCTCCCCGGAGTCACCACGCGGCCCATTTGGGATCCCAGGTAAGGGCAGGGCCCACACAGGGGCTCGGGGAGGGTGAAAAACAGGCCTCCTGGAGCCTTTGAGGGCCAGGGAGGGTGAACCCCCCCTTGCTGTGGTGCAGGGGGCCGACTAAGCCACGCCCATCGTGGCCACGCCCACCCAGCAACCGGCAGAGGTGGGATTCAGCCAGTTCTGAGCGGTTCTGGAGAACCGAATAGCGGAAATTCTGAGTCATTCAGAGAACCAGCCAATCCCGCCTCTTCTCTGCCTCCCATTGAGTCCCAGTTGATCGGCTGGGTCTTCCTTGGTTGCCCTGTACAGGAGAATGGAGCTGGAAAGCAGGTTAGTGGGGTGGGGAGGGAAGGGGGATGTGGCAGTATATCCTTCCCCTGCCACGCCCACCAAGCCACGC